AAAAAAAAAAAAAAAAAAAAAAAAGAGTTAGAAATATTTGTAGTGGAATGGATGTATTTGTTTGTTTGTTTTGAATTTCGCGCAAATCTACACGAGGGCTATCTGCACTAGCCGTCCCTAAGTTAGTAGTGCAAGACTAGAAGGAAGGTAGATAGTCATAATAGGATTGAGTGTCACATTATAACGCCCCTATGGCTGAAAAGGACGATCATGTGTGGTGGGACGAGGATTCGAACGCGCGACCCCCAGATTGCGAATCGAGCTCCTTAACCACCTGGCCGTGCCGGGGAATAGATGTGAAGAGAAATTCAGTGTATATACTTTTGCAAAGTTTGACTGTCAAAAATATCAAATCTGCTCTAAATTGGCTTTCAAAATAATCTGTATTTCACCATTATGCCCCCCCCCCAGTGGCACAGCAGTATGTCTTCGGACTTACAACGCTAGAATTCGGGTTTCGATACCCATGGTGGGCAGAGCACAGATAGCCCATTGTGTAGCTTTGTGCTTAATTACAAACAAATAAACAATTTCACAATTATCCACTTCAAAGAGAAGAAACTCAAAACATTTTAACCACATCAAGTGAGCAGCAAACGCTGGACTGAGCGCTTGCAACAGAGCACCTAGCGACCACGGCATGCGGATCTATATTATATATCTCACAAATTGTATGATATATATACTCATGTTAGTTAGTGGCAGGAAACAATGCACCTAATTACATACAATTACAATTGAGACAGTTACATACTTTTTTCTTAGTTGTTAATGAATATTATTCTTGAAAGCATGCCACATCTGTGATGAATGAGGAATAAATAAAATCCCATCTCACTCGCGTTTTTAGAGCTCATTTCGCGTAGCTCAGCTTGGAACGAGAGTGTCATTTGGTGTCTCGCTGCTTCCAGCTCTTTATGAAACTTGGTAATGTGGGTGATATTAGCAGTATCCTGATCGGTATATTACTTATATGAGTTGCTAAACAATGATGATTACAGTGTATTTTGGGTCGATGTAACACGCACAAATGCGTAAAGTCTATTTAAAGAAAAACGCCAATTCATATAGGATCGTCACTGTGTTACACTGAACACAATGTGATGTAGTAAATCAGAAGCTAACTGAACGTAAATTCAGTTTTACAGCACATTAATAAAATGATGCTATGCCAGTAATGACGAGTTGTTTTATTTATGAAATATCGCTTACCGTTTGAGCTAAAGCAGAATTTTGACTTCTTTTCCTAAACTGTTTTTAGATGGGTATAGTTTATTTTTCGTGTTGTCACCAAAGAAAATCCTAATTTTAAACTTACACCGTTTGGTGTCGCCACCAGTTGTAAAATCTACTTCTATAAACAAGTTCTCATTTTTCCTCAAAAAGTCCTACAGGATGAAAAGGTACTACATAAAACCTCGATTGAAGTTGTAAGGGCTATTGTTAGATATACCTTTTTATATTGTTTTCCTATCACTATTAATATCAATGCACCAATGTCCAAAATTATGTAGTATGAAATCCAATTCACAATTTTCAACACTCGCAAAATGAAATAGTTCCCTCGATCAAATTTGCAGTAAATACATGCACTAATGTAATTGATTTTTTATTTACATACTAGCTAGAGTACATGTCCATTGGACGGGTGAAATAAAAACTCGTTTGTAACAAAGGATGGGAAATTATGCTTCTATTTTTTTTCTTAACATAATAAACATTAAAAGTGCAATAAAAATACATAAAGGTACCAATACTGAAAAGAAAGGCATACTGTTTTC